CTCAAATTTCAAAACATTTTATCACCCCCAAAAGAAGTCCTATGGTACTCAATTGCAATCATTCCCCATCTCTTCTTCCCATTCCTGGAAGCCAATGTTTTTTTCTCCTTTTAAACATTTTGTATAAATGGGATCATGAAATACGAGGCTTTTTGTATCTGGCTTCTTTCACTTAGCATGATGTTTTTAAGGCTCATCTGTGTGTAGCATGTACTACTACCCCATTCTTTTTAATGGCTGAATACTATTCCATTGTATGGCTAGACCCCATTTTCTTTACCCATCAGTCACCTGTATATGTTGTTTTTACTTTTTGTTGTTATGAATGACTTTCTCACTCATGTTAGTGTTGGGTCCCCTATTTCTTGGAATCTCTGTTTTCCTGTAAGTAGATTTCTTCTCTTTTCTAGTTTTTGAGAGGTTGTATATCTGCAAGTGCCTTCACCTGCTTCTCATGTGGTTTGGCGTGGCGCATCATTCTAGCTCGGAGAGCCTTCCCTGGAGGACGGCGACGGTGTCACTCATTGCTTTCCAGCCCACAGCCTGCGGTTCAGAAACCCCGTGCCATTTCCCATTTCCCTCTGCTGCAGAATTCTGCCTTCCCGCTGGAGCTCTGTGCCCTCTCTTTGTCCCCATGCTGAGACCTCACCGCGAGGTGTGAGAGCACGGTGTGTCTTCCTGCAGCCGCCCTTGGGGCTCCCCCAGCTCAGCTCTCCTGTCTCCTGGTTCCGGGGCATTTCTGGAATTATATCTTTGTTTTTGTCCTCTCTGTGTTATGTCCTCCCCACCCCACTTTTTTTTTTTTTTTTTTTAACTCTTCTCATGTGGTAACTCTTCATTTCTTGTTTTCCGTTTCATACCCTTTGGCTCTATTTTTCTGGACATTTTCTTACCTCCTGGTCTTTACTAGTATATCTAGTGTTCCCTTTGGCTATCACAGTTTTGCTCTCCAAAAGAGCTTTTTCGCTCTCTCTGTGTTATTTTTTTCTCCTTTTAAAATAAATATTGCTCTATTTTGTTTCTCAGCTACACCATCTCCTCTCTCTCTCTGGGAATATTACTAATAGCTTGCTTGCTCTTGAAGTGTACTTCTCCCTAAATTGTTTCTCTTTCCGATGAGTTATTTTTCTCTGTCTGGTTATTCTGGTCCCTGTCTTTCCAACTTAGGTGCTCGTCTCAAGTGGAAGGTGATTCTGGCTGTCTATCAGAGGCAGGTGTGGGGACTAAAACAGATTTAGAATCTCTCATCATTTCCTGGGGGTGATCTGGCTCTGCTGTTTCACTGGAGAGACCCTCCTCCCTCAAATTGATCTCTTCATATCTTTCCCCTCCAGTTAGTTAGATTTACAGGAAAATACTTTCTCTTCCTTTGCTTACAAGTATAGGTTGGCTGCCAGCTATTCTGGGAATGGGGAGGAGGGAGGAGGTGGTAGAACCTTGAAATCAGTGTGTTTTATTTATGTCCCTGTTTTCCATAAGATACCTTTGCCTTTAACTTAGTCCAAACCTATGGTTTTACCTTTTCCGGAGAAGGAACCCTAGCCGCCAGTAACTTCCCTCTGAGCCCCGTGCTCCTTCCCACTCCCGAGAGCCTGGTGCTAGCGATCGCTCGGCCTTTTGCGGGTTGTTTCGTTCTTATCAGATGGTGTTTGGTGTTGCTCACTCAGCTAAGAATGACATTTTCTCCGGTCCAGTTACTTACTTGCTTCTTAGCTTCTAAAATTCGATTGTCTTATTTCTTCTCTCATTCTCTTTCTCCTTAAGGTCGTGAGGCCTTTAGAAAGGACTTTTTGAATTGGTTTTTTTTTTTTTTTTTTAATTTATTGCTTAAAGTATTACAAAGGGTATTACATATGTGTCCATTTTATCCCCCCGCCCTAGACAGTCCCCTAGCCTCCCCTATCCCCCAATGTCTTATGTCCACTGGTTATGCTTATATGCATGCATACCAGTCCTTTAGTTGATCTCTTACCCCCCTACCTCCTGCCCCCCAACCCTCCCCAGCCTTCCCGCTGCAGTTTGACAATCTGTTTGAGGCAGCTCTGCCTCTGTATCTATTATTGTTCAAAAGTTTATAATGGTCTCTATTATCCATGAATGAGTGAGATCATGTGGTATTTTTCCTTCATTGACTGGCTTATTTCACTTAGCATAATGCTCTCCAGTTCCATCCATGACGTTGCAAATGGTAAGAGTTCCTTCTTTTTTACAGCAGCATAGCATTCCATCGTGTAGATGTACCACGGTTTTCTAATCCATTCATCTACTGATGGGCACTTAGGCTGTTTCCAGATCTTAGCTATGGTGAATTGTGCTGCTATGAACATAGGGGTGCATATATCCTTTCTGATTGGTGTTTCTGGTTTCTTGGGATATATTCCTAGAAGTGGGATCACAGGGTCAAATGGGAGTTCCATTTTCAGTTTTTTAAGGAAACTCCATACTGTCTTCCATAGTGGCTGCACCAGTCTGCATTCCCACCTGAATTGGTATTTTAATAGGATTCTGAGAAGATGTGAATGTAAATTAGTGTGTCAATCTGTCAACTTTACCTGGAAGTCCTTTACAGTTTTTTTAAGCACCTATTTCAGGCTTTAGGTTGTTGCTTGATCACTCCCTATGGTAGGGGTGGAGCTGTAGTCACCACCTGGGTGGGAACAACTTAGGATTTCATCCTTGTGTGCTCCCTGTTGTCACTCAGGGGCTTGCTGCCTCTGTGGGCTCTAACCAGCTGTGGTCTGGTGGAGGCTTAGCGAGGGAGCTGGAGTGGAGCCACAGGGCAGTTCAGGCTCAGCGACCCTCATTTTTGCCCAGACTTTGCCCACTTCACTGTCTCCCTTAGTGCCACTGCCTTTCACCCATCCCCTCATCTCTCAGATCCCAGTCACTGCAGGGCTGGCCGTAGGTTTCTCCTTTGCCTCATGGCCACCTCATCACACTGTGCTGGGCTCCCAGGGGCTTCACCTCGCAGACACCTGGAAGCTGGATCTGCACAGTCGTTGCTCATTTCCGACTTGGCTGGTCCATGTTCTTACTGCCGCCACTGGGTCTTTTTCTTAACTGCTGGGGCAGCTCTTTCCTGTTCTTGTTCTACTTTTACTGCAATTATCTGGCTCATTCCCAGCTTTTATTTACTTACTCTTCTCTACAAAGTAACCATACATGGGTATATACCTAAAAGTAGAAATACCTATTGGTGTCAGCCATGTTAATTATTTTTAATGGAAGTTTTTCTTTTAATTTTTAAATTTTACACAGTAAAGCCCTCCAGGTTGATCCAGGCTGTTCAGTTGGCTGTTTAGAGAGCACGGAGCATGCTGTGTTCAAGAGCATTTACTGAATTGCTTTGTTTTGATTTAGTCTGGGCCTAAGTCAAACCCCTCCTACTCCCTTGAACCTTTTGTCTTCCCTGCTTTCAATGTCCAACCTCTGCAAAGGCCAGCGCCCTAATTCAAGCCTCTATTGTATCTTACGTGGACTAATGCCGCACGGTGTTTCCTTCTTACCCCTCCATCTACCCTCTGTCTAGTCATCGCACACATCAAATATTTACAGAGAATGTACCACCCCCTACAATACTTAAGACAGACTCAAGTCCCACCTCTCCATCATTCAGTCTTCCTAAAACATTGTTTTACAAACATCACTGCACATGCAAAGCCTTTCATGTCTACTAATTAAAGCCACAGCTTCTTCACCTGACCTCCATGTCCTTCCTCTCCTCTCAACTTCACCTCTCAACACCCTGCCGGTTCCTGCGCTCACCTGGGAGCCAGTCTCTCTATGCATTGCGATTGTGCACTGGTTTTAGAGGTTTTCCAGAGCTTTCACTTTAAGTACAGTTTATCAGTGCCAGCTCTTATTGGTTCCATGTGCACTCTGACCGCCACTACCAGTTCACTTGGATCTAGGCAGGCACAGCCTCACAGGAGAACTTTTTATTGGGAAAAAAACCACATTTGACCTATGTAAAGGATTCAAGTATATATAGGCTCTTCTGTCTTCCAGCCCACTGTCTGTTTCCCCCTGGAATGTGCATCTGTCTCTAGGACAGTTATTCCATTTTTAAATGTGTGTTATCATTCACTTTATTGCACTGTTCCATTGGGTGGAAATGTCGCAATGTTGAAGTAATTAGTAATTTGTGATTCTTTTTCCCTCTTAAAAAGAGCTTTTTCTCTGGAAAAGCTACTTGGAAAAGAATATATATATTCTTCACCTGAGGTCAGGTGAAGAAGCTGTGGCTTTAATGAATAGTCATTAAAGGCTTTGCATGTGCAGTGATGTTTGTAAAATAATGTTTTAGGAAGACTGAATGATGGAGAGGCGGGACTTGAGTCTTTCTTAAGTATTGTAGGGGGTGGTACATTCTCTGTAAATATTTGATGTGTGCGATGACTAGACAGAGGGTAGATATGTGTGTATACACACACACACACACATATTAGTGGCCTGGTGCACGGGAGGGGAAGGGGGTTCCCCCAGCCCAGCCTGCACCCTCTCCAATCGGGGACATCTCTCTCTCACAATCTGGGACTGCTGGCTCCTAACCGCTCACCTGCCTGCCTGCCTGATTGCCCCTAACTTCCGCTGCCTGATTGCCCCCAACCCCTTTGCCTGCCTGCCTGCCTGCCTGGTCACCCCTAACTGCCCTCCCCTGCCAGCCTGATCTCGCCCCTAACTGCTCTCCCCTGCTGGCCTGATGGCCCTTAACTGCCCTCCCCTGCTGGTCTGGTCGCCCCCAACTGCCCTCCCTGCCAGCCTGATTGCCTCTAACTGCCTCTGCCTCAGCCCCCAGCACCATGGCTTTGTCCAGAAGGAAGTCAGATGTCTGGAAGATGGCCGGTTGACCCAGTCTAATTAACATATTACCCTTTTATTAGTGTGTGTATACATGTGTGTGTGTGTGTGTGTACGTGTGTGTGTATATATTTTTTTTCTGGAAGAATAATGTTTGATTACTGTTAAAATATTTATGGAATGTCTTTTTTTCCCTAAAGTGGTGCCCAACCTTTGGAATGTCGATGGAGAAGTCACTGTTGCCGAGCAGAAGCCGGGAGAAGTTGCTGAGGAACTAGCGAGCTCCTATGAAAGAAAGCTCATCGAGGTAAGGCTTGGTGTCTGCGCCTTTATCACTGATGTTGGCTGCCTTGGGGACTTCCCAGGAATAGGCCCAGCCTGCTAAACATTTGTTAGCAAAACAGCCAAAGCACTGCACTTGATAAAGAAAGGTAAGAGCTGGTTCTTTGAAACATATTATTTACTTGAAAATTTGGGTACTTTTGTCCAGGAAATAAAAGACATAAATATGTAATGTTAAAAATAAGAAAACATATCTACCCTTGGATTTGGAGAGAATATCACATACAACTTTGGGCTCACAAATGTGAAAATATGGATGAAATGGACTGTTTTATTTTCTAAGATAACATTTCTAAGATAACAAAATTGATTGACAATGAGGCAAACTGCCTGAAGGGTACCAAAAAGCTGGTGGAAGAAAGTTATAAAAGTAATTAAACAACTGTTTCCCTGGAAGGTAGCAAGCCTGGATGGTTTTATGGTAGTTTCTAGGAAACCCTTCAAGCCTGCTGAAAAGCCCTTTGCTATTTATATTTCCTTAAAGCATAATCTATGGAGATATATATATATATATATATATATATATATATATATATATATTTGTATTTATATAGCTGTATCTATGCATAGATCGTATCTCTGTATCTTAGTTCAAGTGTGCTTTACTTTGATATAAAAACCCAACAAAGATAGTCTAAGAAAAAATACTATAGACTCACCTCATTTGTACACAGATGCATAAAAATTCTAGAAAGAGATTACGCAAATTCAGTCACACATTAAAGGAACAATCCATATAAAAGTAGGATTTATATAGGATTTCAAGGATAGCTTAGTATGTTGGGAAATTCATCAAGTCAGCTCATTGATAGATCAAAAGGAAAAAAACAGACATTGATCTTGATGGTTACTGAAAAGCCATTTGATAATATTGATCATTGATATGTGATAAAAATATTATTTACAAATGAAGACTAAAGATACTTCTTTGATATGATAAAGTTGTTTATTTCAAAAAATCAGAAACCATTAATTATCCCCATACTCAATGGGAAAGCTGGGAGGCTAGTTTCTGATTACATAACTGGTATATAAAATACATATAGGTGTGTGTATATGGTGGCCATATGGTGGTGTTTATTACAAGTCACTTATGTTTGCATGTGTACACACATCTGAGAATACAGTCATACCTTCCAGTTATTGTCAGACCCACTTGCATGTGTTTTTGTTAGCTGCCAGAGAGTGAAATGTTGAATTCCACCGCAGAAGAAGCAGTGGGTGGTTTTAGAACAAGCATGTCAAACTCAAAGGCTAACACGGGCCAAATAAACGAGGCATGTGGCCTGTGGGCCTCGAGTTTGACATTCTTGGTGTAGAGATTTCTCTGCTTCTGTGATGCCCTGACCCTGGGAGCAGTAGAGTTGATTGTTATCATCAACGAGCTGAGATGTTGAGGCTGAAGCACACATGTTCCTTCAGTGGAACATACCATTCCAGATAGATTTTTCTTTATTTTGGTTGTAAAGTGAGGTTCTGTCAGTGATCTTTCATGTGTGAATATTATTAGCATTTCATTGCAGCAAGACTTTTGCGGGACCCTCTCTGTTAGCATTAATCGAGCTCTTTACAGTGTTTTGTGTGATGCTTGTTTTGTCATTCTATGAATGAGTTGGCTTTTGCCAAGAAAGGGTTGTAAACACGTGTTGGAGTGGAGTGATGAAAGAATGTGAGGGAGAAGTTGATGTACTTCTCTTTCCATTTCAGAAGAAGAAACATCTCAATGTAAGTAACATAATTACTTAAAGTACCCCAACATTTGAATTACTTTTGTGACTCATCCCTATCAAAAGGGAATTCCTGAGCATTCTTTTTTACATGTCTCTCAAAGCATTAAAACCACCTCATCCGCCCGGCTGGTGTGGTTGAGTGGTTGAGCCTTGACCTATGAACCAGGAGGTCACGGTTCTATTCTCGGTCAGGGCACATGCTCTATCCCCAGTGTGGGACTTGTAGGAGGTGGCCAATCAATGATTCTCTCTCATTGTTGATGTTTCTATCTCTCTCTCCCTTTCCCTTCCTCTCTGAATCAATAAAAAATATATTTAAAAAAATTTACCTCACCCATTTGCACACAAACCCTGAACACTACATATTCATGCTCAGTGACCCAGCATCTCGAATCTGGACAGCTCAGAACCCAAAGTCAACACGAAGCCATCATTCATTAGCTGGGGAGTGTCAGGAGCCAAGGACTGGAGGTAGAAAGATTGTTCTTGACACCCTGTGATGGTTAACTTTTGGAAATGAGTGGCAGGAGTAGGTTAATCGGGTAGGGGAGAAATGTTAGTATAAACACACTAATTATAAACCAGCTACTGTAGTACCAGCAGCCAGCTGTGGGTGCACACTTTTATTTCCAGGCACCATGCTAAGGCTTTTACAGAGTTGGACTGCCAGTCCTCAGCAGCATCCTGTGAGGAAGATACTGCTCACAGATGGCGTTTTGAGAAGTTAAGTAACTTGCCCCAGAGTTTCCAGCTGGTCAGAAGCAGAGCTGGTTTCAAATCAGCCAGGCCCTCCAGCACCCGAGCTCAGACTCATAACCCTGCTCTGCTCCAGAAGGTGAGCTCATCGAGGGAACGAAAGGTGGACTGGACAGCAGAGAAGGCTCATCATGGTTAAAAGAATGACCGGAAGGAGCGGAGGGGAAAGCCAGCCATAGGTAACAGCTTTGAAACTGCTGGGTCCCTCTCACACCCTTAGTTATTACAGAAGAAGGGGATGGAGGTGTCTTGTATGGTTGGAATTACCTGCTTCTGAAGCAAATTGTGATAGAACACCAGCTGGGAGCTCTTTGGGAACTGGGAGCATTATCTTTTTAATTGTATATTCATTGCCTGACACAGCTCCTGCATATGGTGGGAGCCCCATAAATATTGAAGGGAGCAACAGTCTATTGAATGGATTCAGCTGTTCAGAGTCATGGCTAAAGAGCGATAGGTGTGACTCTGGAACCCCAGATTGAAAGTGAGTTGTGCCATGGCCTCACCAGGGCTCAGCACAGCCTGGTGGGAGGGATTAGGTATCTAATAGGAGGGAACATGGTTCTTTAGAGGAGGCAGACTTTTTCTGGCTCTCAGTGTTAGGGGAAAGTTTAGGTTGCAGAGCCTGGAGAGGACATTGAGTAACAGACAGATGGATGCTACCAACTCACTTAGCTCATACTTATATAGTGCCTTCCAGTGCCCAGCCCTTAGCTTCCTTTCTCTACCTGCAGTGGCTTCCCTACCCTGGGAGATGCTTCTGGGATATGAGCCACAAAAAGTGTGAGGTCATAGGAGATGCCCCTCAAATGGCATTTACCTCTCTAGGTGGAGTTCTTTCTTTGACTGCAAAGGCATTGATGGTTCATCTATGAATAGCATTTGCTCTTTGTTACCCAAGTCTGGTCCTGGGTTATAAGGATGAACCAGACACCATGCCTGTCTTCAGTGAGCTCCCAGCTCTCAGGGGTTAAGTAGATGTGTCTGTTATGATCCTCAGGAAGCAGGGTGAGGTGCAGACATAGTTATGCCTGCCTCCTGGGGTCCTAGCGCCATGTCTGTAACAGCAGTTCTGCAGAGGTAGTGCACTTAGCTGGAGCTTCTAGAATGTTCCTCCTTTTTTCTTTGGGATTGTTAGTAATGACACTTGGAATTTCTTTTGTAAAGTTCTCCCTCTTGTAGCTCTAGATATCAGAGAAAATGGATTTGTTGTTACCGTGGGTTTTGAAGATACAAGTTATTGGGCACTCCAGGATAGATCCTTTCTAAGATTTTTCTTTAGCTTTTTAAGCACAGTTCCTTTGCCAGAGGTTCTCAACCTGTGGGTCACGACCCCTGAAAAGACATCCTGCGTATCAGATATTTACATTACGATTCGTAACAGTAGCAACATTACAGTTATGAAGCAGCAACGAAAATAATTTTATGGTTGGGTCACCACAACATGAGGAGCTGTATTAAAGGGCCGCGGCATTAGGAAGGTTGAGAACCACTGGAGACTCACCTCCAGAGATTTGTCTTTTCTTTCCCAGCAATAGCCGTCAAGAAGAATGCAAAATGTGGGCAGCCTTTGGCCTGCCATCCTGCATCTCTTCGCTGCTGCCTTCTGCAGCCTAGTGGCTTAGAGGGCACACGATACCCTGCATCAGACAGACCGAGCCCAGTTCGTCACTTACTGCCACGTGTTACTGGGCAGGCCACGTGACCTCTCTACACCTCAGTTTTCCCGTCAGTAAACCAGTAGCACAAACTTGTAGGGTGGCTGTGAGAATTAAGTAGAGAGCATCTGGCTTAGTGCTTGTGGTGGACAGGAGGTACCGTGTACCTTCCTGCCTCCCTTCTGATCTCCTTGGGAGGAATGCTCTCCCCACCATTGCTGCCTTGGTGGAGGAGTGAGTCTGAGTCCCCTGCCCTCCTTTGCCCCAGAAGTGCCATGTGACCTGTGCCGGGGACTTCTATAAGAAGAGCAGAGATGCTTGGGAGGCTCCTGGGCTCAGCTGGTTCCTGTACTAAACCTGCTGGAGCTGCTCAGGATGCAGCCCTTCTCTGAGCCCAGTGCTCCCACTTTCCTGACTGGCGCAGCGAGTCCTTTTTAGCTTAGGAGGGAAGTATTTCTGTTACCTCCAAAGTCCCCTGGCTCATCTGCGGCTTGTACATGCATGTGATCGGCAGATGTCATTTCCTTCATTCCCTTTCCACCCTTGCTTACCAGGGCTGCTTTGTCCTGCCTTCTTCATCCCTCCACATACCCCGCCTCCCCCCAGCCCCCCCATCCTGCTTTGCCCCTGCTGTGTGCTCACCTTGGACCTATCTTCATGCTGTCAGTCCACCCTCTGCAGACAGATCTTGACTTCCTCCCAGGTGGTGGGACTCAGCTAAACAGTTGATTGATTTTTCAAATTTTAGGGTACTTATCATTTACCCTGTGAGTGTATTTAGTCCCTGAATTTTTGCTCAGGGGGTGACATAAATGGTATAT